AAGCGGAGGCTAGCTGGAAGAAGGAGCCGAAGAGCAGAGCTTGTCTTTTTTTTCTTGTATTTCTCCCTTCTGGCAACTGCACAGCAACAACAGAAAACACCGAACACAGGGACTCACACAGAAGTCCCGCCAAGTCAGAACTATATACAACCCACCCAGAGGGGCATCGTGGGGGGATGCCGCCAGGTGCTTAACCCTCGAGCACTCTGGGGGACTCGGCCAAGTGTCTCTCCACCCCCGACGCTACACAGCCCCCACCTGGCTGGTTAACTGACTTCAGTAACCACAGTCATATCATCCCTTCGCTGTTGGGGGCGGCCTACACTGGCACTGAGTCATTGTGGTAGCTCCTGGGCTGCTGATGGAGGGGGGACTGGAGCTTATGGCTGGCTCCTGTTGTCCGACTCTCCCCCCTCAGGTGAAGCCACAGACTGGTACAGTGTGAGTCTGTCCCTTTGAAGCACCGCCCGGTTCGGCTTATTCAGTCTCACTCTGTACACCGCATCTGACATTGTTTTCAGTACAGTACAGCGTCCACTCCCCTGGCTTGCTGATTGTGGGGACAAGCCCTTTTTCCATCCAGGGCTATACACCCACACCAGCAGAGCAGACATACTGTGCAAGCATCCTGGGCCCACATCTGACAAGGCCCCACATCTGTTGCTGCCCCCACCTGGTCTTGCTGCCAGGAAGTATGTGAATGCTGAGTCAACCTCCTCTGAGCTGCACAGGAGCCCCCACCTCTGCTGGTAGGGGAAACAGCCTGTGGGGCTGCTGCCTGTCATGTGGCAGTGTCACTCGGTGTGCCGACCATGCTGGCCTTTCTAACCGAAGGGCAACCAGTTGTATTGGAACCGCGCACCTTGGAAAGAGAAACACAGGAATTTCCTGTGTTTAGGGATAATGTGCACATGAAAGTTTGTGTCCTTTAGGTCGATAGATATGAACCAGTTGCCCAGACGTACACACTCCATTACTTGCTTTATGCTGGGCATGTGAAACAGCCTCTTCATTATGTATTTGTTGAAGAGGGACAGGTCAAGGATGGGCCTCATTTCGACCAACGTCTTGGGAACCAGAAAGTAGCATGAACAGAAACCCTCGTACTCCTGACTGGGCGGGACCACAGAGATCACTTTATTTGCTAGTAGCTCTTGCAACTCCACCATCAGCACGGTGACGGGCACACAGTGATGGCGGTGCAGCTTTGGAGTCCGGTGTTTGATGATCTTTGCTCTTTAGACATGGTTGTCTAGTTGTCATGGTTGTCGCTCTTTAGACTGCTGAAAAAAAAGAGGGAGCCACTCAGGCCACACTGGCATTTATTCCACCACAGCGGACCTGAGTGGAGGCAGGCCAGTGCAGGGCACAGGGTGTGAAAGAAATCTCTTCAGGACTGTGCACGCACGAGGGATAAACCCAATAGCGACGGCTCTTTGAGGGCAAAGCCGATATGAAATAGAACTTAATTCCAATAGGTAGAGTAGCACTGACAGTAACATCATGGGTTGTTATTCTGCTGGTTAACCATCAACACATCACATGCAGCAGACACACTGGCCTCACGCAGTCAAAACAAACAGGTACTGTGCATCAGGGGAATCCCCGCCCTGATGAGCTGATCATTCATCACCACGGGGGCTGCACAGGCTGGCTGCTTGTAGTTTAGACCCAGTCAGGCAAAACAGCGAGTCCCTGTACAGGATAATTCCCGGCCATGCAGTAACCTCAGGCCCTGTATTTTTCTCCACATCCTCTGGTCACAGTGCTGAAGAAGGAGGTAAAATATATCCACAAAACCAGGTGCAGTCAGTTGAAAAATTTCTCTTTTACAGTGGCACCGTGGATGTCTTTTTTTTTTATATAAGCTTTATTGAAAACATACATAGCAAACAAAGCAAAATAACATTTTACTCAGTCTGGTGGGCGCACCGCTGGATGTGAGGCAAGCTCACGTGAACGTGCAATGGCCTGGATTTTATGCCCATTCATGGAAATCCTTAAAACTATCACATAATATTTTATTTGGTAGAAAAAAAGTTTTGCAAGTGAGAGTTTGCTGAATGTGTATAAACTGAGTTGCTTCTGCATAGAAATACTAGAACATCCATCCACCTCATTTTTTGAGCTTTAGGTCATGTCTAAGATGATAATTCACCGTTGTAACATTGTAGATAAGTCAGAAAACAAGGAAAAGCATGACATGTGGGTCTTTTTAAATAAAAAACAATAGTATGAGCATCAAAAATACTTAAAGTACTAAAAGTTAAAACTTTTCATTATGCAGAATGGCACTGTTCACCTAAATATCATATTTCTAGATTATAATCATTATTAGCATTCATTATTCATTATTATTAACATTACTGTGCACATCACATACAGCCAGCAAAGGTGGAGCTAATGTTAACTACCTTATATGCTTATAATTTAAAAGACTCTACATACTGTTGGTCAGCTTGTGAATTTCCCACCAGGGATCAATCAAGTTTTATGATTAGACTATTTTATTTTATTAATCTGATTCTGAAAAGTAACATAACTAAATTTATCAAATAAATGTGGTGAGCCTAAAGTTTTATATTTTTCTCTAAAATATAGTGAAGTTGAAGTATGAAGAAGCAGAAAATGAAAGTACTCAAGTAAAGTACAGATACCTCAACACTGTACTTACAGTAAGTACAGTACTTGAGTCAATGTACTCAGTTTCTTTCCAGCACTGATTGGACATTACCTGGACTTTATCCCAGGGAGCTGGCAGGTTAAGGGTTGTTTAATGTCAGTGTGATTTGCACCCTCACGTACAGCTCCTGCCGTTAACAGGTTCAGGGCTGCAGTGCATGTCTGTAAAAGGCACATACATACCAGCTGGCATGCACAAAAATAGTGTCTGACAGCAGCCATGAGGCTGAGAGGGCAGTAGATAAATCAAGTGTGCATGTGTGTTAGAACATGTTTGTGTGAAGGACTATTTGATTTTCGTTGTTTTAGATCTCAAGTGGGTTAAAGAGTAGCATTAAAAAAAATCAAGCAATTGAGATTTTGACCTCACACCAGCTTTATCTGCGACCTTTGTTGAGCTAAAATAACTCATTAAATAATCATCACTGATGCGCTCATCGAAATAAACATTAGTTTTGTTATTCTAACACCAATTAATGTAGAGCAAAATGATTCATCCCACTCCCAGTTCATAAAAACTTCTAAATAAGCTGGAACCTCTTTCTTGTGGTAAACCACTTTGTCAGAAAGATACTGATGAATTTTTAGTGTGTGTTTTTAGTAACATAAGACGACATTAATATTACGCATGCACAGTGATAGCCTCCATAATTTTAGTGAGAAGGAAACCTTACTCACTCAGACTCCTGGAACTTAATGGAAACAGACTACTGATAGGCAGGTAAGCTTTTCTGAACCAACTAACTACAAATCTCCTAGCATTATTTACTACCCATCTAAGAGCCTTTGTCAAGAGCTTGTCATGTGACTCACTTGAAGTGTTTAGATAAATATGGTAGTGATTTAAAAAAAAAGAAACAATCATTTATTTATAGTGCCTGGGAAGGGACAGAGAAAGATGTGAGTCCTTGTGGGATCCTGCAAAAGTATCACGAGATCTCACAAAGTCTCACATCATTTTTTTCAGCTATAAGTTGTTTATTTTTCCTGTGTCCCCTGTATGTATGCTTTTAATGAACACCATGCACATAGCGGAACTAAAGGAAACATTAGGTGATCTCTAACATCAGCAAGTTTCATCCTGTGGGGACCATGGGCCAAATTTCATCACCGTTTATCTCATAGTAGTTGAGCTATTCCAGTCCTGGTGAGAGTGATAGACCAACTAACTGGCTGGCATTTCAAGATCCGTTTAGCTAGTGTGGCTGCTAAAACATGTTTCCAGAATATATTGTACTGTGGCACTATTTCTGGAAGGAGATGTTACTGGTCATTTTTTAAATGTCATTTTTCATAGCTGTGAGCAAACAGTGTTCTGTTCTATTCTGTATTATGCTGGTGGCACAAACCTCAGAGATAGATATCTCAGATCTTGGGCAAATCTTCCTGGCTACATGTCACAAGGGGTTAATGATATATATTATAAATAGTCTTACTGAACAGGTCCTTTGAACTGGAATAACACACGATCGATTAGATCATAAACACCACAGAAATAACTGGCTTCACTGCAAGCTGAATTTGAACCTGCGATGTCGTGAGGACACAATAAACACTCGCTTGTTGTAGCACAAGTTGTCTCTTTACACACTGTGGCCTAAAAGCCCGTTTTATGCCACAGTGTACAATCTCCCAGCCTGGTTCTGCTGCCTGGCCAACTGATTTTGCCTGCCAAACACATGTACGGCAAAAGTGACTCTCCGGGCTGCAGCAACGTGTGGCACATCCAGACAGACATCCAACCTGGCTGGAGGAAGAGAAGACAAAGAGGCAATCACAGCCCACACCCAAACACACACACACAGATGTATACATTCACTTTAATCATGTGGTACACATCAGCCCTCCAAACACACACACATACAGAGGCTCTCCCTGGTGGATAAATCAGCCCTTTCATGCTCTGTCGTCTGGCTGCCTCTGTTCTACTATGTTTCTATAATAGGGGAGCAGTCCTTGTCTTTTACTATTGTAATGGTCACACATACATCTCCCTCTTCCGGCTCCTTCTCTGTTCTTCAAAGGGCTTCTGCTGGAGTCAATCTACAAGTACAGTGGCTGAAGATAGGGGACTAACAGCATGTATAATCACTGGGGATATGTCACCCTAGTGAAATGTGTGTGTGCGCACGCACGCACGTGTCTGTGAAGATGACGCGTTATAATTTGTTCTTAAGCGATAAGGAGGGAAGTAATAGCTTTTTGAAATAGGACCACAGCCATGATGAAGGTGGTCTGATTAACAAGAATATAATAATGTTGTCATTGGCCTGTTATCAGCTGATGGCTGATAATGAGGATGATAATGAAGATGAAGGCGCCCCCGTTGAAAAAGATCAGTGTAGATTCAAGAGACGTTTTTAAAGGTTACTATCCATGGCTACAACAAATGTGTGATTTTTACCATTAGTTATAGCAAACGCTGAAGGGGACTGTGATGTTTACTCTTAATACCACGTGAATATTATGCAAATTATAGTCCTGTATGGATTTTTGGATGATGATGGTGACGATGATGACCACGATGATCGTGGTGGTTGTGGAGGTGGTGGCGATGATGAGTGATGAGAGATATAATACCAGAAATAATTGCTTCCGAGAGAGAGAGCGATGCTAAATAGATCAAAGAAGGAAAAAGTCGTGAAAATTAGAGAAGTAAAACGTGCCGAGATTTTCCAGAGTTACGGTTTTATTGGAGAGAGAGAGAAAGAGAGAGAGAGCGGCGCGATGACAGCGTTTGTCCTTCCTGGACTCAGTTTTGTCACCGGCTGAAGGCAGTACGGGCGACGGACGAAGAAACTTGAGACAGTCACACCGAGATCCGACATTCACAGGTAAATTCAGAATGGATTTCACTCAAAGCAGATAATGGTATCATTGTGAGCATGTACGATGGGCGAATGAAGAACAGACCTAGTTTCTTCTCACATGGTATTTGCGAATTGTGTTTCTTTCTACCTATCTACTCTTTGGCATCAGTGCTTGACATTCACCAGAGATCACATTTTAAATTGAATTGACGGTACGTGGCACATTATCTAGCACCAGTGCGTGGTTTCCTTTAATTGTTTCAGTTAAATAGATGAATGTGGTCTATTCTCACGGCTGACCGAACCTGTGCGTATTTGCAGAATCCCAAATGGTTATACTTAATATTAGGTGTTACAAAACTATATCTCTGCAGCCTCCTGTGACTGTACATAGAAGCAATAGTACAGTGGACCCAGTTTCAGAAGGCATGACACTGAACATAGAGTCCCAGCTGGGAGTCCTTGGTCAGAGAGATTCAGGAGCTGTCCGCTGGCGCACACTATGTGCTTTTATGTGGGGGAATTTCGCCGCCATAATAACTGCTGTTTACACTGATTCATTATTGGTCTATTTATTGATTCTACCAGATTTTTAGTCCACGTTTTATTCCACCCTCACAGTGAGAAGTAGGGTTTGTCACTTTTGTGCAAATTGGACCGGTGCGATATCTTTACGCATGCGAGCCGATTCCTGACAGCGTGCGTGTGCGCTCTCCTGTCTGTCTGCACTCAGCCGTTACCGGAGGACGGCGGGGAGCAGCGACTGACAGACTGTCACATAACGAGC